CGTTTAAGTTTGGTGCGTTGTTTCTTTTGGATCTAGATACTTTAGTGCTTTTTTGGAGTACGGTTCATTTTTCGTCCAGAAGGGGGACACCCGATTTGACTCCGCCCTCGGTTCTTTGCTCGCGCCGCGAGAATAATATATATATAATATATATATATATATATATATATATATATATATACATACATATATATAGATGTGTGTGTGAGTGTGGACAGATCCCCGCCCCTCGTGCAGTTCCCTGTGCCCGTTGAGGAGTCGCACGCCGTCTTCGCCAAGTTCTCCGAGTGGTGCGAGGACGAGGCCCGCACGCTCGGCTTCCAGATCAAGACGTCCGAGGGCGAGATCGCCAACCTGAAGGCGGCCTGGAGCCGTCTGGGGGTCCGAGTTGGCCCAGCACTGGGTCTGGCTGGTAGGATAAAGTCGTGCCTGTCCCGCTACAGGGGGGAATCTGCAAAAATAGTTAAGCAACAGTCTGGGGACGATGTTTGGGGCATGTTTTGACCATTTGGGGCCATGTTTGACATATTTTTTATTGTTCGTCCAAAATCCCCCTGTAGGGGGGCAGGCCCGACTTGATGGTAGGAAGGGCGGGCAGCTTCGAGGTTTGTGGGTTCGGGAAGGTTGTTTGCCTTTCTCTTCCAGGGCCGTTTTCGGGCTCTGGGACAGTGAACATCAGATCCGGAGCGCGAGAACCTACAGTCGGGGCGCTATCGAAGGAACCCTTTTCGTCGGGAAGGGGCTCGGTTTTCCTTGATTGTTTCACAGCTCGCCCAGTTTTCCTTAGGTTTTCGATGGGAAGCCGAACTTTCACTTATGGATCAAAAGGGGCCCCGTTCAATATTCAGGGTTCCTTGGGTCAACGCCCCGACTGTGCACCAGCTGGACCCCGGGAGGGGTCCTGCGGCCGAGGTCCTGCGACCGAGTTTGAGCGGATTTGGCCTCATTTCGCTCTCCCTGGCATCGCTCGGACGTGTGCATTTTTCCTTCGGCGGGGACCATCCAGGAGCATCCTTGATCACTTGGCGAAAAACCACGCACGAGACCGAAGAAAACACAGGGAACGGACGTCCGAGCGATGGCGAGCTCTCTCCTGCTGCCGACTTCTGGGGTCCCCGCCCGAGTGGAGGCGACCATCGAGAAGGAAGCGGCCAGCATCGCGGGCTACGAGGCCAAGATCGAGGAGCTCGCCGCGGAGCTGGCGCTCGGAGGAGAGAAAGCGCCCGCATGAGATTTCTGCACGACTTCGAGCTGTCAGTTTCGCTTTCCATGGCTGCAAACAAAAAGGGCCTGCGTGAGCGTGAGCTTGGGAGGTTCCGGCGGATCTCTGGGATCGGCGCTCTAGGACCCCTGTGGCGGCTCCTCTGGTGCCGCCCCTGGGTACAGGGCCAATCCGAATGATTCACGCGAGCCTCCGAAAGATTTCTCTGACGCCTGGCATCGCTCTGACGTGAGCATTTTTTCTCGGCGAGAACCATCGAGGACCATCCTGGACCATCGAGCAACAAAAAACACACACGAAACCGAAACATGCACGGGAAATAAGTGGACGTCCCAGCGCCGGCAGGGACGAGCTTTGTTCGCTGGTCTCAGGCCCTGGACGAGGCGGACCTGAAGGCGGCCACCGAGATCAGGACACACGAGCAATCCAACTTCGCCGCCGAAGAGAAGGAGCTGAGTGAGGTCATCGACACCCTGAAGAGGGCCACCGCCATACTGGAGAGGGAGATGGCCAAGATCGGCTCGGCGTCCATGCTCCAGGTGCGGGTCAAGTTTTCGATCCGAGCGATCCGACTCGATGTCGATCCTGACCGACCTGCCCGATCCGACTCGACCCCGATGCTCCGGCGATCCGATGCAGCCCGCTGCCCGCGTGGGCTCAATTTGTGCATCCTGGCGCAGCCGATCCGATCCGATTTCGACGCCGTGCCGATGCAGACCGATCCGTCGCGCCTGCGGGTCCGATGCGACTTTTCCCGACGGCGCGCCGACCAGTCCTGCAGGTCCAGAGCGCCAAGTCCGTGGCGCAGGCGCTGGCCGCCATGGTGCAGGCCTCCCTGATCAGCTCCACCGACGCCAGCAGGCTGTCCTCGCTGGTGCAGTCCGCGCAGCAGTCCGGCGGGGAGGACGGTGACGCGGGCGCGCCAGACGCCGCCGTGTACCAGGGCCACGCAGACGGCATCTGGGTGTTGCTAGAAGTGGTCCCAGCCTGGGGCTTAGTGGGCCCTGGAAACGACAGGGCCGTTTTTTTACCAGTTCCGCTTTGCCGTTTTTGTTGCCGGCTCCGACGCTGTTTTTTGACCGGCTCCAGCTCCGGTTCCAATCCTGGAGCCGGTTTTCTGCCGTTTTTGGTCGCCGTGTTTTTTTTTTCCGTTCTGCATTTTCCAGGGACATTTTTTTTGGGAAACGGTGACAACATCGGCCCTGCCGTTTCCGGGGCCCACGACGGCCTGGGGTGTCCCCAGCGTGGGTCCCCTTTGGGGCCCCCCTGGCCTCGGGAGAGGCGTGGGCTCTGGAGGTCGTCTGGGCCCCCGCGGGACCGGGAATCCTGGGACACTGCGTCGACTAGTGACGGCAAACTGCATGAGCATATTCCAGATTTCGTAATAAAGGGAGGGGGGTCTCATTTCGGGGGGGTCTCTTCCAGGCTATCTTGGAGGGCCTGGGGGGGTCTAGGGACGATGTTTTGGAGGGTTCTCCCACGGGGGAGGTCTGCAATGGCTTGTCTCGGAGGGTCCAGACCCCCTCCCTTTTATTACGAGATCTGGAGTAAATTTTTGGAGGTCCGCGCGGGTTTCCTGGATTTCCTCGGGACCTCCCTGCCGGCGCTTCCGGCGCCGCCCCTGGCGCGCTCCGCGCGCGCAGGGAGGGGGGACACTTCGGGCAGCGCCCGAGGCATGGGCCGCGAGAACGATGGCGGCATCATCGCGGTCCTGGGGGACCTGCTCGAGAAGGCGGAGGCGCAGCTGGACGGCCTGCGCAAAGCGGAGACGTCGTCCCTCCAGAACTTCCAGGTGCTCGGAGAAGAAACTCCCCAGAGGAGGAACTGGTACCGATACGACTTTGGGGACTTTCGGGAAGCCCTCGTCGCCACGGCTGGATTCGCCTTGAGATATTCGTCAGAGCGCACCCCGGGAGATGTCTGGGAGGTGGCGATATCGGCATTTGTTTGGCTTTCCAACGTGGGCATGAGCACTGACTTGCGGAGGCTCGCGCGGATTTTTGTTGAATCGGCGCTGGCCGCCCCCTGGAGACGCCTCAGGCGCTGCACCTGGCGCGCTTCGCGCGCCAGGGAGGCCGGGGAAATCTGCGCGGACCTCAGAAAGTTCTTCTCACAGTTGTTGTTCCGACACAGGTGCTGGCCCAGAACCTGAAGGACAAGGGGTGCAGACAGAGGGGGAGTGGCCCAGGGAGGGAGACATCGCCCTCCATTTGCCCACTGCAGGAACGGGCTGGTTGGCTATCGAGGGCCCATCGCCGATCTGTGGGCGAGGTATCGCCAATTCCAAGTTAATGTTTCCCCCCTGATCCAGTCCCCCTCATTTGGGATGCAATTCCTGGGATGTTTAATTCAGCATTGGCGCTTCTAAAGCCGGCCTTGTCGGGAAGACTTCCGCTTCAATGCCGCTTACTCCGGCTGAATTTTAGGTTTCAAGCCAGGTCAAGTTGTGCCATACGCCCGAGAGCGTGGGCAACGGAAGAGACTGCCTGCCTAGTCTCACCGCTTTGCGGGAAAGGCGGCGGTGTTCATATAAGTGAAGCTGTTGGGGAATTCAAGCGGGTACGGCTCGTACGGGAATTCAAGCGGGTATGGCAGCAGGGGGAGGAGGAGGAGGATGAGGAGGAGGTGGAGGAGGAGGAGGAGGAGGAGGAAGGGCGGGATGGGGAGCGGGAGGGAGCGACACATAATCAAACACACATTTGCAACAGGTTGGTGGCTCGCAGACGCACTGAATCGCTGCTGATTCAGACGAATCTTTGCCTCTGAGCCAATCTGGCTTCATGACCCCTTAGTCGAGATTAATACTAATTCATACCCCTTTCTCGTTCCTGCGAGGACCTCCAAGAAGTTTCCCCTCCAATGCGATGTCTCGATTTCCTCAATACGGGGTGACGGCAAGTCCTGGCCCTTCTCCCCAGGGACGCTCTCTTATCCCGCGTCGTTGCTTGATGCTCCCCCTGGCCCTGGCGAGGGCCCCCAGAGGCCGCAGGTCCTACAAGACAGTCCGCCGTCTTTCTGTCCACGGCGCGAGCATGTCCGGGCCCTGGCTTGGCATCGCTCGGACGTGTGCATTTTCTGTCGGCGAGGACCATCGAGGAGCATCCTTGATCATTTGGCGAAAAAACCACGCACGAAACCGAAAAAGGCACAGGGAATGGACGTCCGAGCGATGGCCAGCTGACCGGACCCCTTCGAGGACGAGATCAAGAACGGCAACGCCGACCTCGCCTCGGCGAAGAAGGGCATGGCGGCCAGCGGCAGCTCCAAGGCGGAGGCCGAGGGAGACCTGACGGCCACCTCTGCGGACCTCGCCAGCGACGAGGATCGGGGGCCCCCGAAACGGGGTGGTGACCACACCGTGCGGTGAGTCGGTGGGGGTTCGAGGTCATCGCACGGTTTTGGGACTAAGGTCGTTCTTCGAGAATGTCTCGGGCGACTGGGGCCTCCGAGGTCCCAAGACCGTGTGGTTGCGGTCATTGCTTCGAGGTCTTTGTTGATTTCGAGGTCACCGTCGGGTCTGTCCCCACACGGTGTCGGGACCCCCAAGAGGAGACCAAGGCGACCCTGCACGCCAACTGCATGGACAAGGCGGAGACCTTCGAGGCGGAGCAGAAGAGTCGCGGAGAGGATCGAGCAGGGCAAGAGCACATAGATTTTCGGAGGTCCGCGCGGACTTCTTGGGTTCGCGCTGGAACCCCCTGCGAGCGCCTCTGGCGCCGCCCCTGGCACGCTCCGCGCGACAGGGAGTGGCTGCCCAGCGCTGATCGGAGAAACCCGCGCGGACCTCTGAAAGTCTCCGATCGTGCAGTCTGATTTCTCTCTAGCAAGCCTGGGCGACGAGAGCTGCATATGTACGGTAGGTTCGCGTGGTGTCGACCCGCGGTGACCCCGCCGCCAGCGTTCAAAGTTGAACGCCTCCAGCGACCCAGAATCGGTCGTTGTGGAACGATCTGACGTTTCGGAAACGGCCGATCGTTCAAGATTGAACGCTCCCCGCGGTGTCAGAGACCATCGCCAAAGTCGGCACGACACGGACCTGCCGTATACCGACACTGGCCAGGCCCATCCTGGGCCTGGGACGGGCTTGGCCAGGGCCAGCGCACGCGTCCGCGACCTCCGAACGTCTACGTTCCGCATTCCTCTGTCGCCGCACCTGGAGAAGAGGCAACGGCATTCGCATGAGCGCTCGACGGCGCGCGCCAGGGGCGGGGGCTCCGGCGCAGGTGACCTCCAGAGCACGCCTCCCGAGTCCCAGAGGGCCCCAGGGGGATCCAAGCTGGGGACACTCCGGGCCAGGACCACTTCTTCTTCTTATTAATCTTATGATGCTTCATATGTTTCTGCATTCGTGTTACTAGTCATGTCATTTTAGCAACACTATGATCAACAGTGCTTGTATCACTTTTACCACCACGATTCTTAGTGTTGTAGATATTCGTGGTATGGGGGTATTGTTAGTAGTCTAATCACCATTCTACTGATTGCATTGTTATTACCATTTTCTTATGTTGTCCTCTCTCGCCAGGGAAGAAAGGGCCGCCGCCACCAGCTAGGGGCACTGGCCGCTCCTCCCCCCGGGCTGGTGGCACGCCGTTCCGGGCGCGCAGCCCCGCGAGTGCCCGGAGCGGCGCGCCAACCCTTCGGGGCGGGCCGCTGGGAGCGGAATGCTGTGGAGTTCTGCTGGTGGTTGCTCTTTTCCGAGAGGTGGCGAAGGGTCTTGGCCTGCGCTCAAGCCCACCGAAAGAGTGTTCTGAAAACCTCTTTGTGTTCTTTGCACGGAGTGTTCTTTGAGCATGTCTGGCCGAGACCGTCTTGTGTCAACGCATCGGGTTCTCAGAACAAAAGTGGTGCTCTAAGACAGTGGCAGGCCTTGATGAATGCTGGGATGGTCGGCCCCTGCTCAACTTTTTGCTCTTATGATTCCCACGGAGGAGCTGAAGGCACTGGCGGAGGCCAAGAAGGTCCTCGTGGAGACGACCACCGGAGCTGACGCCCAGAGCTACTCGCTCCTGCAGACCGCGTCCGCCTCGCACCTGACCAGTGGCGCGGACCTCGCGCGCTACGAGGCCGTGCGCTTCGTGCAGGGCCTGGCGCAGAGGCTCGAAGGAGAAAAACTTGAGCTCTCGGACGGGGCCATGGTTAGCGTTTTTTTTTGCCGATCGGCGCGGGCCTCCAAACCCCCCTCCCCCCCCATGAAGTAGATCTTGGCTGTTTTTGGCGCCTGTTTTGAGCAGGTAGAGTCTCCCCCTATAGGACGCACGGTCCCAAACAGTCGCACTAAGCAGAGGTCCAGAGCCAGACCCGCCCCCCCTTCACTCCCCTTCCGCCCAATGTCGAACCGCCGAATAAGCAAAAAACACTCCCACCTATGACAAGCATAGTAAATCCGTTCCAGAGCCTTCCGGACGCTCTCAGTGCGTTCCGGAACGCTCTGAGGACTCTGCGGCGCCCGATACATAATTCCGAGCTGCCGGATCTCAGAAATCATAGAGTTATCTTCACCCGATGTGATCCTCGCCCTGGAGTCGTGTGAATTTTGGGCCCCCTCTTGGCTTCGTCGTAACCTTTGGATCTGCATTGGGCCCCCCCTCACGGCGCTTCTGGCGCCGCCCCTGGCGCGCTCTGTCGTCTAGGGAGGGGGTTCCAGCGCGGATCTAATGAACGGCGCGTACGGCCAAAAGTTTCAGTTTATGCATTTTTTTTCCAAATCGTATTGCACTTACACCTGGAGTATTATTTCTGGTCTAGGGAACTTGGCCGTGTCTTCGTTCTGGCGGCTATGTGGCCGCCGTCGCCGCCCCGTCGCCGCCTCGTCGCCGCCCGTCGTCTGGGCCGTGTCTTCGATCTGACGGCTATGTGGCCGCCGTCGCCGCACCGTCGCCGCCTCGTCGCCACCCGTCGTCTGGGCCGTGTCTTCGGTCTGGCGTCTATGTGGCCGCCGTCGCCGCCTCGTCGCTGCCCATCACGTCGCCGCCTAGATTTTTATTTTCAAACAAATCATTCGGATCTACCCCCCCGGGATTAACCGGCCGCCTTGTCGTATTGCAATTTACAGACGGTTCTGCCCCATGATCCATTATAATATATGAGTTCACAGCATCTCAGGCAGGCTGGAAGAAAATACTGTGCGCGCGCGTTTCTTTTCAAAATCAATAGTTTTTAATAACCCCTTGCAACGCAATTGAAATGCAGACGCGCGCGTCGTCGCGCGCGCGTGCCGAAATTCTTTAACACCTTGGGTGTCGAAACTGAAGGGTTACATTTTTCATAGAACAAACATTGCTTCGCATTTCGGATTCTCAAACAAAACATGCGTTCGCGCTCTTGCTGAGTCTTAAAATACAACTTCGGTGTTTCTACAGGTTCATAAAATGCTACCCAACGGGCCTTTCCCGCGCGCATGGGCCTCTCGCGCCGCATGTCGAACTCATCCGAGCGCCCTTGCGCGCGTGCTTGGGGGGGGGGGACCATCCGTGTCAAATAACGCCGACGCGAGGACATCGTCATCGTTAACGGCGGGCGTGATCAACATCGGCGCCGTCATCGCCACCATCTTCACCACCATCGGTACTGTCATCATCTTGTCTACCGTTGTTGGCGTCGCCATGATACCGCGCCCGCCCAAGTCACCGACACGCACTGAAGTTCCCGTTGGAAGTGCCCGGCGGTCAGCACCACCGCGGCGGATGCATGCGCGAGCAGTGGAGTTGACAACTCAACGCGAGCATGGGTGGCTTGTACCGCATAGATTGCGCCACGAAGACTGCACAACATAGGTTGCACCAGGTTGTTTGCACTGGATACATTGCACTGCGCACATTGCAGTACATGAGTCGAACCGTTAATAGATTGTACAACGTCGATTGCACAACCGATTTTGAACAACATAGATTACATCACGCCGGCTGTACCTACAAAACTTTGCCCTGCAAAAATTGCACCGCTGCGGTGCACAACGTGTACGGCACCACATCGACTGCACCACGCCGGTTTCACCGCACATGTTTGCCACATACATAACACATGTTGATGTGCATGTTTGTATGTCTGTATGGCTGTATGCATGTGCATACATATATATATATATATGCATGTTCGACAATCTCTATATGTATCGCAGCATGTACTGTTCATGCCGCCTATACTCGGACATACATACGCGTACAAACAACAACGGTTGCACATCATCCGCAGCACCACCTATATTCTCCTAATACATAATATTTGAACACACATCCTCCCCTCCTGGACTTCATCGGTCCGCCTGTGTGTCTTGCAATGCACATGTGATTTTGCTCCATCGTCCATCCTAGATCTGAATTCGTACTCTTCCGTGCAATCCCTTAAGGCTCTCCCGCCATCCTCTGACAATCTACATACAGTGCGCGCGGACTCGCTTATCAAACATCAGCAGTTTGCAAGAACCCATTGCAATCGGACGAAGTATATTAGCTCGCGTCGCCGCGCGCACATGCCGACATTCTTAGAATCCGTAGTTTTGGTGAGGATTTTCAAAAGCGAGTGTCCCGAAACATATTTACAAAGTTTACAAAGTTACAAACGCAGTGACCCGAAGTTTACATATTTACATATATATAATTACCCACAAATATGTATACATATGTGTGTATATATATGTATATACACATATCGGAGTAGGCCCGGCGGGGGCCCGGGCCGGTGCCGTATCACCCCATGGGGGTATTGGGGGGGTCCCAGGGCTCCCGGGAGAACCCGGGTCCGCTCCCAAACACGCCACGACACGCCAAGAGGGTTCTAAAGCTTGCCAAGACAGCCCCAGGAGGCCCCGGACACGCCGAAGATGGCCTCAGGACGGCTGGCGACGCCGCCAAAACGCCCCAAGAGCACCTCCAGAGGCCCCTCCACAGGGCCCCTGAAGCCGAACATCATCCCTTTTCCGACGTTTCTGAAGCATATTTGCGCTCTCGCATTTTCCGCCTCCCCACGGTCCCGGACGGCATCAGAGGCCCTTCAGATCGCTCCAAGACGGCCGAAGAGGCCCCCAAGAAAGCCCAGAGACGGCCCAGGAGGCTCCCCAGATCATTCAAGAGGGCCTCGAGAGCGCACCAAGAGAGCCCCAAAAGCGACCCAAGAGGGCCCGAAGAGCGCGACATTTCAAGGTCCCCGGCCTGAGAGGCTCCTGGGACGCCCCTGGAGGCCATCAAGAGGCTCTCAAGAGGCCCCGTGAGGCTCCCAAGAGGCTCCCAAGAGACTCCCCGGAAGCCCAATGGGCCCCCAAGGGGTCCGCAGGGAAGCCCCTTGCGTGCCCCCGAGACACCTCGGTAAATCGTATTTCCCAGACGGCTTTCCGGGAACGTGATTCCTTGGGCTTCCGCCCCCACCATGTTTCCAATAGGTTTGCCGACAAAGCCCAAAGGGGTCCCTCGGTAAGCCCCCAGAGGCCCCCCTCTTAAGAGAGCCGAGCAAAGCATGCTCCCGGAAAGCTCCCTGGGAACATGATTCTCGGGTTGTCGCCATCTGCCCAAACCATGTTTCCTAAACGCCTGCCAGGAACAAACAAAAACGAGAGTCCCAAGCAGCGCTACTTGCCGCCACGCTCGGAAACGCGTAAGGCCCCGAAGCCTCCGGAGGTGCCCGACGACACCCCAATAAATCATGTTCCCAGGAAGCCTTCCGTGAATATGCTTCCTCAGGCTTCCGCCCCCAGCCCCAACCATGCGTCCCCAAATGCTTGCTGGGCAGCCCCCCAGTTGGCCTTCATACGCGCCATCGTACTACCAGAAAGCTCACCGATAAGATGATTATTCAGGCTTGAACCCGCACGCAACATCTGCCCCAAAGCGCCTGTTAAGCAGGACTTGAATGGGCCCTCAAGTGCTTTCCTAGAAGCCCCACAAGACGCTGATGATGACGAAGATGATGACGAAGCTGACGATGATGATGGTGATGGTCATCGTGATGGTTGTTATGATGCTGACGATGGTGACGGGTACGAGGATCTTAGCTAGAATTTGAGCGCGCGCGAAGCGCGCGCGATGGTTCTAGTATACATATACAGTTTTACAAACGCAGTTTCAAACAAAGACTGCGCGCACGCTCTTGCGAATGCGTTAAAAACACTCGGTTGTCCGACCGGCTCACCAATTTTGACCAAATGGGCGCTTTCGCGCCACGTTTCGAAATCATTCGAATTTCCTTGCGCGCGTCTTGGGGGGCAGCATCCATGCCAATTCATTTTAGAACCTTCGTCGCCGCCGCGAAGACACCATCATCGCCATCGGCGTGATCCGCTTTGGCGACATTGGCCATGCCGCTTTCATCGTCATCGCCGTCGTCATCACCATCGCTACTAGCATCATCGTGACTACCGGTGCCGACGTCGCCATGCTACCGCGCCCGCCCAGGAATGAAGTGCCCGCTGGTAAGTGCCCAGCGGTCAGCGCCACCGCGGCCGCGTCGGTCGCGCCAAGTTAGCTGGCCGCTGTGCACGCCCGAGCATGCGCGGGCTTGCGCGGCTGCGCGGATGCATCAGCCAACGCCAAGCACTCATCGCCACCGCCGCCGCGCTGGCGTTTGCAAACCAAGCTGCGGGTCGGTGGGTGGGATGATTGCGCGAGTACTGGAGCTGTCAACTCCGCGCCTGCCAAAACTAACTGTACGACATCAGTTGCGCCACGCATATTCCATTACATCGGCTCCACCACGTGTAGGTATACATATATATATATATATGTATATGTGGCAAACCAGGGAATGCTGTACATCGGCAGCACGCAACATATGACACAACATCGATTCCATCCCCTCCCGAGGTCGGAGCTTCCGCCCCCCTTCAAGATATGCAGTTCGCATATGATTACGATATTTTCCCCATTCGTCCTATCACAGCCTAGCCAGTACCGATCCCCCTCCCTGCCCTTGCAAGCAATCATATGCGCGCGCCTTCGTTTATCAAACATCAACAGCTTTCAATAATCCCTTGGAGCAAGCGGGGCGAAGTGCACGCGCGAGCCACAAACACAACAAACGCATGATTCGCAACAGTACTGTTCGAGAACAGTTTGCGCTCGCGCTCTTACGAATTATTGACAAACCCATCGGGTGTTTACCATGTCTTTAACTTGCTTCCAAATTGGCCATTCGCGCGCGCGTGTCGGATTCGTTCGGGCGACCTTTTGCGCGTGTTGTCGCAATAATCCCTTTCAAGCAGCTGGGCGGAATTCACGCGCGCGCATGCCGCAATCCCGGAAAAATGCCCTCGATTGTTACCTTCAAAATTGAGCGTTACGAAACAAAAGTTCTGCACCATCAGTTTTCAAACAAATCCTGCGTTCGCGTTCTTGCGGATGCTTAAGAAAACCGGCTGTGTTTCAACATGTTCATTCGATTCTGCTAAACGGGCCTTTCGCGCCGCATGTTGAACTCATTCGGACGCTCTTGCGCGCGTGCTGGGGTGGGCACAGCCCGTGTCAAATAATACCACGCGGGCCATTTTCGCGCCCCGGCCACGCACGCATGTCGAACTTCTTCCAAAACCTTCATCGTTGACGCGAGGACATCGTCATCGTGATCGGCGGGCGTGATCAGCATCAGCGCCGTCATTGGACTTGCCGTCGTTGAAGTGTCGGAAGGATTTCGCGAGTTCCCAAAAAAAACATGGGAATTAGCTTGGCGAAGGACCCAACCATATGCAGTTGAGAGTACCGCAATTGTGAATATCTTTTTCGGTGGCGCTCCCTATGGGGCCACGAGCCGTATGAGGGGTGTGCCGAAATGCGTGGCAGTGTACACAACACGAACGAAGACGATAGGTCCGAATATGAAAGCTTGAGCGCGTGCGAGTCGGATCGCGAGCGAGTCTGATTATGAATGAATCTGCGCGCGATTGATTCTATTCGCATGAATGCGTGCATGGATACGCCCAGTGTAAATGTATGTATACGACTGTGAACAGTTTGGGTCTGCGTGACTCTCGGTACTCGTGACTCTGAGCGTCGCCTCTGCAGGGGGCTTCCCTGGGAACCCCGACGGCAGCGCCCGCGCGCCGCGACGCCCATGTCGGCACGCCACACACCTGGTGTGCGGGACGCATGCGGACGGCAGCACTGGGGCCTTCGGTGGAGCTCCCTGTGGGGCCACGAAACGTGTGAGGGGTGTGCCGAAATGGGTGTGCGGGACGCATGCGGACGGCAGCCATGGGGCCTTCGGTGGAGCTCCCTGTGGGGCCACGAAACGTGTGAGGGGTGTGCCGAAATGGGTGTGCGGGACGCATGCGGACGGCAGCCTGGGGCCTTCGGTGGAGCTCCCTGTGGGGCCACGAAACGTGTGAGGGGTGTGCCGAAATGGGTGTGCGGGACGCATGCGGACGGCAGCCATGGGGCCTTCGGTGGAGCTCCCTATGGGGCCACGAAACGTGTGAGGGGTGTGCCGAAATGGGTGTGCGGGACGCATGCGGACGGCAGCACTGGGGCCTTCGGTGGAGCTCCCTGTGGGGCCACGAAACGTGTGAGGGGTGTGCCGAAATGGGTGTGCGGGACGCATGCGGACGGCAGCCATGGGGCCTTCGGTGGAGCTCCCTGTGGGGCCACGAAACGTGTGAGGGGTGTGCCGAAATGGGTGTGCGGGACGCATGGACGGCAGCTGTGGGGCCACGAAACTGGGTGCCTGTGTGGCAGGGGGGTGTGGGGCCACGAAACGTGTGAGGGGTGTGCCGAAATGGTGTGCGGGACGCATGCGGACGGCAGGGGCCTTCGGTGGACGAAACCCGAAATGGGTGTGCGGGACGCATGCGGACGGCAGCCTGGGGCCTTCGGTGGAGCTCCCTATGGGGCCACGAAACGTGTGAGGGGTGTGCCGAAATGGGTGTGCGGGACGCATGCGGACGGCAGCCATGGGGCCTTCGGTGGAGATGGGGCCACGAAACGTGTGAGGGGTGTGCCGAAATGGGTGTGCGGGACGCATGCGGACGGCAGCACTGGGGCCTTCGGTGGAGCTCCCTGTGGGGCCACGAAACGTGTGAGGGGTGTGCCGAAATGGGTGTGCGGGACGCATGCGGACGGCAGCCATGGGGCCTTCGGTGGAGCTCCCTATGGGGCCACGAAACGTGTGAGGGGTGTGCCGAAATGGGTGTGCGGGACGCATGCGGACGGCAGCATGGGGCCTTCGGTGGAGCTCCCTGTGGGGCCACGAAACGTGTGAGGGGTGTGCCGAAATGGGTGTGCGGGACGCATGCGGACGGCAGCACTGGGGCCTTCGGTGGAGCTCCCTGTGGGGCCACGAAACGTGTGAGGGGTGTGCCGAAATGGGTGTGCGGGACGCATGCGGACGGCAGCCATGGGGCCTTCGGTGGAGCTCCCTGTGGGGCCACGAAACGTGTGAGGGGTGTGCCGAAATGGGTGTGCGGGACGCATGCGGACGGCAGCACTGGGGCCTTCGGTGGAGCTCCCTATGTGGCCACGAAACGTGTGAGTGGTGTGCCGAAATGGGTGTGCGGGACGCATGCGGACGGCAGCACTGGGGCCTTCGGTGGAGCTCCCTATGGGGCCCCGAAGCGTGTGAGGGGTGTGCCGAAATGGGTGTGCGGGACGCATGCGGACGGCAGCCATGGGGCCTTCGGTGGAGCTCCCTGTGGGGCCACGAAACGTGTGAGGGGTGTGCCGAAATGGGTGTGCGGAACGCATGCGGGCGGCAGCCCTCGGGCCTTCGGTGGAGCTCCCTATGGGGCCACGAAACGTGTGAGGGGTGTGCCGAAGTGGGTGATGACGATGACGATGACGACGATGCCAATGACGATGATGATGATGATGATGATGATGACGATGATGATGATGATGATGATGATGATGATGATGGGAGGAGGGAGGAGGAGGAGGAGAGAGGAGGAGGAGGAGGTGGGACGCGGGGCGCTGTCTCTTCAAAACGAGGACCCAACACCACAGTGTGCCACAGGATGGTTGGGAAAAAAACACACACGGTTTCGCAACATTGATTTGCTAAAAAAGCTTACGCGCGAGCTCCTGCGAAATCTTAAGGAACCCATAGGTTTTTCAAGCTTTTCACAAACTGCTACCAAACAGGCTTCGCGCGCGCGCGTGCTGAAATCTGTCGAACGCCCCTGCGCGTATGCCGTCGCGAAAATCCCCTGCAACAGATGGGACGCAGTGCAGACGCACGCGTCGTCGCGCGTGTATGCCGAAATCCTCCAAAACCCATCGGTTTCGGAAGGAGTTCAAAATCGCGTGTCCAAAAAACCTACAGACACACGGTTTCGCAACACGGATTTTCAACAAAATCGTGCGCGCGCGTTTTTGCGTCGTTGTCGTTGTCGTCGCTGTCCTACCTCCTCCCGCGTCGTCGTCGTCGTCGTCCCCTATGTCGTCCTTTGTCTTTCTTCGTGTTCGTCGTCGTCGTCCTCTTTGGCGTCGTGGTCGTTTCCGTCGTCGTTGTCGCCGTGGTCATCTTTCCTTCTCCTCTCGTCGTCGTCGTCGTCGTCCGTCGTCGGCGTCTCGTGGTCGTCCCTCCTATTTCGTCGCCGTTGTCGTCGTCGTCGTCGTCGTCGTCATCGTTGTCGTCGTCGTCTTCCCTCCTCCCTCGTTGTTGTCGTCCTCGGCGTCGCCGTCCTTGCTCCTTCTTCGTCGTTCGCGTCATCGCCGTCCTCCCTCCTCCCTCGTCGTTGTCGTCGTTGTCGTCGTTGTCGCCGTCGTCGTCCTCCCTCCTCTCTCGTCGTCGTCTTCGTTGGCGACGTCGCCGTCGTCTTCGTCGTCGTCGTAGGCGTCGGCGTCGTCGTCGTCTTCGTC